CTGCTGGACCGGAGGCCCAACAGCACCTACAGCAAGCAGGGTACGGGGCCCAGGCCACCGGTCCGGTTCAGGGGAGGGCCCGGACCCAAAGGGGGGGGGTCTGACCTTCATACGACCTTCAGCGGGGAGGTCTGACCTTCATACGACCTTTAGGGGGAGGTCTGACCTTCAGAAGGTTGGTCTGACCTTCAGACGACCTTCAGAAGGTTGGTCTGACCTTCAGACGACCTTCAAGGGGGAGGTCTGACCTTCATACGACCTTCAGTGGGGAGGTCCGACCTTCATACGACCTTCAAGGGGGAGGTATGACCATCCGTTGACGTTCAGAGGGAATTCTGACCCTTTCTGGCGGGAGATCTGACCTTCAGACGACCTTCAGCGGGATTTTAAAAGATTCAAAGGCAGATTTGTGTTTCCAGCTTTTTAAATCCCCAGAGAGCGGTTTTCAGATCTGCTTCCTGCTGCTGACCTGTGTGTCTGTGTTCAGTGGAGCTGGGCGGGGCCGTGAGGAGCTTCTACCAGAGGGTCCCCTTCCAGAAGATGGTGTCCTACTCCGTCCGGAGCCGCGTTACGCTGGCCGACAGCACGCCGCTGTCTGAGGGGTAACAGCCGTTTCCTGTTTTTAAGGGAAAGAATGTGTCACGACCACTGGTCCGGGCAACAGAGAACCCAAAAGCACCACAAGGCAAACAGGCAAATCGTGAGGGAAAAAAGCTTTACTCAGTCCAAGAAACAGGCAGGGGTCAAAACCAGGAGATCAGTTGAAGAGGCAAACAAATCCGACAAGGGGCAGGCAGGTATCCAAAATCCAGGGAGGCAAACGAGAGGTCAAAACGGGCAGGCAGAACAAGAAAACGCTGGAATGCTTGGAACGGAATGACACAAGACAATTTGGCAAGGGACAAAGTGGAAAGGGAGTGGTATTAATACTGAAGACCAAATGAGCTAATGAGCAGCAGGTGAGGAGATGGGCGGAGAGAAGCAGGTGAGGGGGAATGAGTAATTGCATGACAGGGAAGGGCCGGATCTGAAATGACAGGAGAGTTAGATCATGAAAACAAAAACAAACTTGGTTCTAGAGTAACTACGTTACAGAATGTGGCAAAAGGAACCAAAAGAAAGCTTGTTGTTGCTTCATATCAGACTGTGTTTTTTTAAGATAGAGAAGAAAATGTAACTGAACATTAAACTGCTCTGAGTTTAATGAAGATTTACTGAACCGACAGAAAAAAAAGACCAAAGTTCTGCTTCAGCCTCAGGAATGCTGCCTTACTTTTGCTGTCCTGCTGCCCAAAAATCTTAGAAAACCAGAGCACATTTAGGGATCGATCGGGAATAACTGAACATTTTGTTCATTATTAAAGAAACCCTTGCAGCTTAATGGGCAGCAGGACCCTGGTTCTGGGCGGTAATACTGACGGTGTGTGATGTCTGTGTGCAGGTTCATGCAGTGTGAGCGGCGCTGTGATGAGGACGCCTGCTGCCGGGGATTCGGATTCGTCCGGGACACCTCAGCTAAAGGTAGCTGTTCGCTGTTTATTAACAGTAATTCAGACAGGAGGAAATCGTTCTAAAAAAGTTTCCTCTGATCCAAACCCTTTGCTTCTGGTTTAAAAACCACTTTCCTGTGGTTTTGTTCTCCCTGATTTGGCCTAATGACCTTTTCCTCTGGTTTTAAACTATTTTCCTTTGGTTTTTATCCACATTCCTTAACTTTAAATCAACTTAACTTATTAATTTTGATCTCAATGTTATATTTGATACATTTTTCTATGACTTTGACGTCATACTTCTATTGTCCAGTCGAATATTTGATCAAATTCTACGTCGTATGTTGGGAAATTGGCCTGTGTAGTGGTGGTGCGTTCAGGGACCGGCCTGTGTGTTTCAGGGGGGCCGGCCCTGGTCTGCCTGGTCCTGATCAGTCTGGGGATCCAGACCTGCAGCCCGACCGGCTCCGCCTGGAGGAGCCAGGACTGCCGGCCGTCGGCCGCGAGGGCGGCGCCCGAACCCTTCGGCTGGTACCAGAAACCCGGTACCAACCACACACACACACACACACACACACACA